AGTGCCTTAGATGAGATCTGAGCCCATACAATTTGAGGATTAGGGATTGAGACGAAGACTAAATATATATTATATTCAAAATAGTTTCCCAAATGTGACTCGTGTCGGGAATCCGTATATTCTAAGACTGGTTTGTGCTAGGTTATATTAGATAAAAATAGCTTCTTATCTAACCTATAATGACTCGTATTCCATACTCTAATTAATGAATACTTATGCCATTCCTGATTCTAACTTAAAGCATCATTTGTTATTTTATTTCAAAAACTTGTAAGAAAACTAGCGAATTTGTTTCCTCGTTAATAATTGATTTAATGCCTGTTGAAACTCCTTTGAAAATCCTCATATACGGAGATTTTTATAGACATCGATTTTTCTACTGCTCTTGTACAAAAATGGATGGCCTTTTTCAACTTATTCCCGGTCGATAATGACACCTTTTAAAAATTTGCACCTGGACTTCTATACTAGTTTTTGCCACTTATTTCATTCTCTACTTGATCATTTATGCTTGCCTGGGCCCTCAAAACAGGATTATTATACCTATGACTGCTTAAGCCACATGCAATGCCTTCTCGATCATCTGATGGATCTCCTTGCCCTGACGCAACAAGGGACATTCTCTCTAATGCTCTTGGCTCGGACGTAAATCCTCACTCTCACACGATTTCTACAGCGGAATTAACAGTATCCCTACCTGCAGCGGCCTTATCGTCAAATCCTTCACCGAGTACTTTTACTTCACAGTTATCCACATTTGGTTTATCTTCGGAAGTCCTTTCTAGCTCTCCTGTTCGAGGGTCCTGGTTATATAATGTGCCTATCACGACACCGAATACTTCTATTCCCTTCTCTTCGCCAGTTTCAATTGCGACAGTGCCTATTAGCCAGTTTAGAGGATTTTCTCCATCCTCCAATTGCTATCTCACTCAACCGTTTGTTTCTAACATACCTCCCACCACTCCTACTGCATTTTATATATTCCAACAGAGCTCTAGACCTCCCCCACCCATGATCTCATTGCCTCTTTCGACACAGTCGCAGGCACCTATTCAGCAATCTTCGAATCAATTGCAAAATGCATTACCTCCTGTTTCATTTATTCCAGGGAGTGGAGTGCGTCTTCCATGTCAAGGATTTGCTTATCCACCTAGTAGTGGCATTGATTTAAACACCCGTCATACTAGATTTGGTACGTTCTCTAGTCTCTCGGGATCAAGCGTGTCTACAACTCTATCTTCTATCCTTAGTCAGGCTTCAGCTTTGCTCCCCAGGATTCCACTTCCACCGGCTTCTTACCACTCTCTTACACCAGTCACTTCCGTACCGGCAACCTCTACAGGATCCTCTGTTAGAACCTTTTCATCTCTTCCTTCTCCGTTACTACCTGCCGTTCCTCTACAAGGGGAGAACGGATCACATCTAGTCTCAGGTGGGGTATTGACGCTGAATTGTACTTCGGATATACAAAAAATGCCACTCGCTATTACGATGGCCACATTCCCTACTAAAACTGCTACTGCCACCCTAAATTCTTCTCCAGCATCTTTGAGTGTGCTTTCTGGCAAACTTCCCATTCCACCTCTAACTAGCCAAACAACTATAAGCCCAACCACTACTTTACAGATGTCTCCATTTCACCTAAGAAAATCATATTTCCCACAAGCCTCATCTGCTCTTGCAAATGCTTGCCTTTCCATAAACCGTCCTGTTAGAAGTCACGAAAACCCATGGATCAATAATTTGTCAAAGAGGCGTTTTTCTACTTCGCCCACTCCAGCCATTTCTGGATTAAGCACTCAAGTGACATCTCATTCCGCCTCAGTTACTGCATCATCTGAGCCTAAGTCCATGTTCTTACCTGAAAGTGAGCCTAAGCTAGAAGAGTCTCAAAAGTCTGTTTCGCAATCATTACAGTCAACTGGTGCCTGTCCATCGAACCTTAAAGAGATTGTCTCTATAAATCCCATATTTAAACACGAGCCTAGAAAACGCAAAATTCCTCATCAGGCGACCAAACCCACATCACAGGCGATTTTGGATTCTTCCGCTCCAAGATTTGGAGAGAAAAAATCTATTCCTCAGATTGATTGTGATCTATCCATTTCCAAATTTTCAAAGTCTACATTGGGGAGCTGTGAGAAAGAAGCTAATTCATGCAAACAGGATGTATTCATTTTATCTGCTGACACCACTACACCTAAGTGCGATTCCGTTTTTGTCGATAGTTCTCTGATCCAGTCAAAATCCTCTTATGTGCCCACACTAGACTCTATTCTCTCTCTTACTGAAGTTCAGGGACTTACACCTCCGACTGACTATATTCAAGCGGCAAAGTCAAACCATCCATCTTCCGCTGCTGGGCCACATTCATCTTTGGCTTCACACTCAAATTTGTTTTGCTCGTCATTGCCGTCCACTGCGTTAGTAACTCGCAAATACGATCGTCCGGGTGATCATTCAGATCCTGGGCAAAGCCAGGCACAGATATACCAGGATCAGCTTCAGTCTCAACGTCAAGATCATCAGCAACCTCATTTTGTTCAATCCCAGGGTATATTATATTCTGTTAATTCTCCCCTCCAACTGTATCCCCGAGATTGTTCCGTGCAAATGAGTTCTACTCCTCCAGCCAACTTACTTCTTTATTCACACCTCGAAAACTCGCTAGTTAACTCAAGCCCATGCCCAAAGTTGGATCGCTTCACTACGAAACCAAGTGTTACCTGCCTCCAGACAACATTAAGAAATACGCCGAATCCCCAAAAGATGCTATCTACTCCGATCATGCTTTCACATTCGTCAGCCACTCCTGCCTTAGATTCAGTAGGCTGTATTAATGGAATGACTGATGTTCCGTTTAATAGCCAGCTCTTATCTTCTAACATGCAAATGATCAAAATGTCTAAATCCCCACCCATGACGTTGAATTCAAAATCTTATACCGAGCAAGATGAGAGCTCTCGTTCCCTTGATCAGACCTCAGAGGCTGCTAAACTACTAGATCCCAAACACATAATCGAAGCTGGCGCCAAGGCAACCCATACCAGGATAACTTTATTTGCGCCTG